AAAAAGGGGTCAAGACAGGGGCATTATATTTCATCCAATAGGTGGTAAAATCACCCTCAAAAGCAAAGACTGTGAAAAGCCAAGGGGCACTTCCCCTATTTTACCCTGGCTTGAGTTATCACTGTTCCCACTCACTTTTTTGCTCTGAGCTCCACTTCTTGCTCTCACTAACCTTTACCTCAGCGCTTTCTGTTGTAGGATGCTAATACCTTAAACCTTTTCTTACAGTGCTTTTCCTTCTGCTTATTTTTCCAAAGTCTTGGACTTACTTTCTTGTCCCGAGATCAGAAAAAAGAGAAGAACAGCAGTATATAGTGAATCCTGAGTTACAACTTGTACTGTCCTCAGAGGAGTGAGTTGGGGCTGCTGAAGAGATGTTTTTACCTCCCTGCTTGTTTCTCATGAATTTGAATTAAGTGTTTTGTTTTTTTCTCTGCTGCTTCAATGACAATGCTCAGTGAATACCTAGGACCAGCTTGAAAAGGAGAGTTAAAAATCTAGCTAATTGGATTAATGTATGTCGTGTATCCTTTCAAATACAGTTGAGATAAGTAATAATCTAATATTCAGAGGACGAGATGCCTGTTTGCTTTAATCAGCCACAAAAATAACAAGGCTTATTTGATTATAGCCTTTTAAAATGCTTTTGAGACCTGATTGTATAGCATGGGCCCAAGGCACACTGAACTCCTTGCAAGGTGACTCTCTTCCCTGCTGAGAAGCTTATTGGCTTGGGCTCATGGTACCTAACCTACTTTGGGGTACATTTACAGGTACAAAATATGGTACCTAAACTATGAAAACCTGTCTATTGAGCACTGACAGCCTTTCATGAGCAAGAAACACTTTAGAATACCTACAACTATATAAGTTGTATCACTTAGTTGCCCATTCCCTGATGAATGAGCAGGGATGTAAAGCAGCTTTATTTTGGTGTGGTCTCCTTCCCTTCTAAAAGAACATAGCATGCAGTGTCTATGAGCTTTGTTCCTTTGCCCTGCTACTCTGGTATGCTGCTACCCAGGCAGAAGACTACTGAGAGTATGTCCATGGAAGCAGAAACTTATTTTGCTTTCAAAATCAAGGAAAGGAGATAATATTTCCCCACAAGATCTGCTGATCTCATTGCCCCAGGTTATTATCAAAGCCAATAAATTAGTAGGATTTCAAATAGGGGAAATACATGGAGGCTGTACACTCTCTGGAGCAAAGACTAGCCTGGTTCCGTGCTTGTACAGCAACCACTACCACAGGGTCTTCAATCTAGTTGCTAGTGGTACAATAATAAACACAGGAATAATACCTGTACAATGTTCAGCACTATGGTGACAAGCCTGGTTGACACTTCTTTACCATAACACAAGTATTTAACAGCAGAGCTGGTCAGAAATTTTCTATTCAAACATTTTTCTTTTGGGAGTTGCCAGAACATGGTGATTTCTGACAAACCAATAAGGTTTCTGAGGGAAATCTACTGAGTTTCCTGGCAGATCTCCAGTGAGCAAAGTTGGGACCCTTCAAGCCCCAGCTGGAGCCAGAGGTCTGATAGCTTCAAGACTTCAAGGAAGCACAAAGGACTCCAAGTGGAGTCAAGATAGTCAGGGCTTCCAGGCTCCCAGCTTCCTGGAAGTATCCGAAGCAGGCAGTTGGAACTCAGGACAGCTAGGAAAGCCTCATCAATTTTATTTTGGGGTGTCTGTTTGCTTTTATTTACTTTTTTAATTAAATGTTCAGCCTGCCCTTGTCTGCAGGAAGTATTGCCATTGCAAAGCTTTGTTCTAATTTGGAACAAGCTTTTGCTGTTGTTGAAATTTCAGATTTGTTTTCCTGTAGAATTGAACTGTTGCATTCCAACCAACCCTATCGAACACTCAGTCTGATATGCATCAGGACACAAGCCAGCCTCTAACTGCTGAGGGTTATTATAAACAACCTCCTACAGGGCCAGCCAGAATTGTAAAATTGTCTGTCAAGGAGTTGTTTTTTACATACCGTCCTCTGAAGCATTAGTAACTGGCTGCCATTACAGACAGGCTACCAAGCTAACTGACCATTAGACTAATCAAAGGTGGAAAATGCTGGATTCCCACGGATCATCTAGAATATTTCAGACTTAAAATAGCTTCCTAAAGCAAAAAAAAGCATTTTAAAAAGTCAGGATGACCCTAAATCTTAGGATTTATACAGTTTTCTTCAGTTATAACCTGCAGCCTGCTGCTTGTCTGGGATGAGCAGCCAGCTCAGACAGCAAAAAGCTTTACAGAAATGCCTAGAAATTAGACTTGTCTAAGGTCCTTCTAGAGCTGATTGACTTTACTACCTGCAGCGCTCAGCAGAAGGGAGCATACTGGAATAATTGATTCGCTGAGCAGAATGCTTGTACTGCCTCAGCCAGTGACAAGGACAAATCACTCCTACTACCAACTGCTGATTTAATATTTAATGTGTTCAGAGCCTGCTAGCAGGCAGCTGGTCATCTCAGTTGCTCTTTATGCATAGTTTAATATATGTAGGCATGTGGGCAGTGAAAACTGACTCAAGAGCAGATGGATTACTGGCAGAATTAGAGGCTGAAAGAGCAGGAAATTCAGAAAAGCAGCTATGAATAAATGTATTGGAAAGAAGGTTTTAAGGGCTCCTGAAATACTAAGAATCCTAGAACTGATAGGTTATTTTCATTCCATAGAGTCATTGTTGCCTGATAGGTAGGCTGCTGGACTGACAAACAGCAAATATGTGGGTTGGTGCCATTTCTGCTATTGGTAATGACAGACATTAGGGCTGTGAGAAATTTCACTTGTTGTTTCAATTTGACACTGTTTTGACTTATTTCGAGCTCAAAACAGCAAAATTGAATCAAAATGAAGGGCTTTAAAACAAACAGCCTTGAAACAAAATGAGTTTAGTCAAAAATTTTTGAAAGTTTTGAAACATTTCGAGCTTCAAGACAGCCAGCAGCCAGGTGGTGGGAGACAGAGGAGAACCAGGGCTGCACTCCTAGTGGCTCCACAGCCCCATGTGGCTCCGCCGGGAGCGCAGCCCTGGCTCTCCTTGCCTCCTGCCACTGGGATACGGGAAGCTGATCATAGTGCAGGGAAAGGGAACTGAGCCCGGGCTCAGTTCGCCTCCCCAGCGCTGCCATCGGGCTGGGGAAGGCAACTGAGCCCAGCTGAGCTGAGTTCCCCTCCCCAGCTAGATCCCGCTGGGGAAAGGAACTCAGCCCAATCGATCCCAGTGCTGGGGAGGGGAACTGAGCAATCGGGCTCAGTTCCCATCCCCATCTCCAGAGTCACAGGTGGCAGCACCCAGCTTCCCTCCCTCATCTGGCAGGCAGATCAGGGCCTGAAGCCCCAGGAGGACTGGCCCAGCCCCTGCAGCCCTTCAAGGGTTGTGGGACCCCATTAGCCTGCCGGATGAGAAAGGCTGTTTCGAGCTTCCCCATTATACTGAAACGTCAAAATGGCAACACTGTTTCGATTAAATGAAACGGAACAGCAGTTTGGAATCCAAATGAAATGCAAAACAAAATGCTGTTCCATCGAAACCTTGCAACTCAAGTCGAAATGGAACGGTGCCATTTCACACAGCCCTAACAGACATACAATACACTGACTGCATCTACGTGTGCACTTCAATGCTCAGTAGCTCATTATACTGCACATTAAAGCGTCACATCAAAAATCATGCTAATATGCTAATGTGTAGTAAAAATAGGCTACTGAGCATTAAGCTTCACTAGAAAAGCATGCACTTTCACTACTGTGCATTAGGGCAGCCTAACACATGCGTATTTAGTACCTCACATTAGAAGTATTAAATTGAATGTGCAGTAGCAAAAGGGCATTAATGAGTGTGTAGATGTGCCCTGTGAGGGTGACATTACACATTGCACTTATATCATACTAAATTTATGGAATATTAAGCCATGTTAAAATTAGAACATGCTGTGAGCATTATGGGTTAATATGATTTCTTGACTGCACGGCTCTGACTTGCCACTAGAAGGCTGGTGAACAGGGCATGGCAAGGAGCCAAAATACCTGGGCTGTATCCCTGCTGGGGGGTGGGGAGGGGAGGGTACTGGGAGTGGTTTATTCTGGGTTGCTAGAGGGCCGCATATGGCTCGTTTTATCTCTGTGGAGCAGACTGTAGTTACCCCAATACAAGGTAGGTAGCACAGGCCAAAGTTAACCCTCACCTGAACAGGCATAACTTTGAGGTGCTCAGAGAGCACTTAGCACAAGATAACAAGCTTTAATGTGTGGAAGCTTGCATTTGAAGTGCCCTTACTATGGTCTAAGTATAATGTGTAATTTCATCCTGAAAGGGGGTTATGTCTCACTGGACATCAGCTGCTCCATGGTAACTACCTATGCATATGCTCTTGCCCCATGGTAAGTGAAAGCTAAGCTGCAGTATCTTAACCTTCAGTGAAAGAGGAACTGATCCAACCTCTGTTGTGTAAAAAACTAATGAAGGCCCTGGTGATTTGCCCCTATAAGTGCTTTTAGACTCCTATCTTTACTGACAAAGTTTGTTTTTACTCTAACTCAGGGGTAGCCAAACTATGGCATGCATGCCACAAGTGGCATGGGCAGCCAGTGTGTGTGGCCCATGGCAGGTTGGAGAGGGAGCAGGCAGCACACTCACAGATAGAGCATGGAGAAAAAAGCAGAGCAGAAAACAAAGCAGGGAAGGGAATCAGGATGCCACTTGGGGAGGGTGTAGGGCTTAATTTGTGGCACATGTGCCAAAAAGGCTGGCCCCATGGCTCTAACTAGTACTGTAGCTCCAATGTGGCTATGGGAGAGTGAGCAGGATTCGGTCTCATAAAAATACTGAAAACTCTGCAGTATCATACTAGTGAACTTTGGACAGTGGGTGTGTGTGTGTGTGTGGGGGGGGGGGGGTGTTATAAGCCCTGGCACATTATGAGCAAATCAGCAACCTACATTTTGATATAAGAATCTTTATTATTGGCAAATGATACAAAAGGCAGGCAGGGTCCTACTTGACTCGCAGACCATAGTTGGAGTTTTCATGGTTGGCCTTCATTAGAGTATCAGACTGGTTGTTGGAAGCTACAGATCAGACCCTGGGGACACTGGGCAAAAAATAAGCATGAAACCCCATTAATTCGTTTTTATAAGCACTTCTCAGGGCATCTCTCATACTGCATCTCACAGCCTTGTCTAATAAATATTCCAAGCAACAAATTACTGAATGTTACTGCAAGGTGCTGAAACCAATCCAAAACATCCGTATGGACCATGTTCTTTAATGAGCTATTAGAGAATCCACAGTGGGAGAGATGCAGCCCTGCCAGAAGAAACCCATTAGGCATCATTCTTCCATCCTGGCTGTAATACAGGCAAGAGAGGGGACATGCCCTGCATTAATATGCTAAGGCTGAAAGCATTCCACTCCCTTCCTCCATTACCACATGCTGCAGTCTGAGCCTACATTAAGATTTGAATGCATAAAAAGAAAGGCTTGATGACTGTTGAGAGGAGGCTTTGTGTTCTGAACCTTCTCTATTAGCATTCATGGTTCCAGATAATTCTCTCCGTCATCCCCTCCATCATCCCTCCCTTTTGTGGCACTTTTCCTGTGTGCAGCAAATAGGGGCCAGTAGCTTTGCTACTCTTCCAGAAACAATTAGAGGATCAGACCAAAGAAAGAAAAAAGTGTTGGTACCTCTGCTATGCACACTCTCCATCCATAACCAACATTTTATCCTAGGGGCCTAAGCAGATCTTCCTCAGATAATTCTCCCCCTCCTTGCTTGGATCAACAGTGTACTCATTGCACGTGTTGATATTTAAATAATAAATCACTAAGTTATGGCATCCACACCCTTTGAAACAAATCAGGAACCCCACTTCTCCAAGCTATTATTTCAGGTTGCAGGCAGACTCAGACAAATGTCATTGCTCTGTTTGGCAAGCAGTTGACATTCTGAAGGTCATCCTTGCTGGAAACATAGGTCACAGGCACATAAGCAGAGATGTGAAGCTCAAGGCATGAACCCAGAGCAAACATACCATGGCAGTTGCACCTAAACAAGCAGACGGTTTTTTTGAAAGTGTGAGAAATTAGGTGGCTGTGCATAGAAAGTAGGCATTTTAAACAGAAAATGGCTTCAGACTCATGGAGGGAGTAAATTTGCCACCATTGTAGTGGGGCATAAATCACCTGCAGGGGTTGTCTCACATATTTGCTGCTTTTTAAAAGTGGAACAACTTGGCTTGCGACAGATTAACCTATTCATGTGTCCTTCAGCTTAGAATGAGATGATTTTCAGAAGCACTTGTTGCTGATCTGTCTTTGCTTTCATGCAAGTCCACTGAGGTTTTCAACACAGATGGCTTAAATAATCTCAATATGAGGTTCAAAGCTTACTGGGCTTCCTGCCACTTCGCCTGCCTAGTTATTCCAGATCAGATCCTTCCAAGTAGGATACTGAGGAATTAGGGCTTTCAGCATCAGTGGACGTGTCTACACATGCATTTACGCCAGCTTAAATTTATGTTGCAGTAACTGGGAAGAGGCCAGCATCTACACGTGTAGGCATTAAAGCTCATTAACACTGTGTGTGGACTGACTTGGAACTAAGGTAAGGCATCTATATGGGCATATACAGGCGGCTTGTGAACGCTGCGATGGTAGGGCACATGGAGCGTCCCACAGAAGTGCAAGGGGGGGGTCCCCAGCACGCTCGGCAGCAGGGAGCAAGCTGGGGGCCCCCCCCCCCATGTCTCCCCTGGCTCAGTGACTGGTGCCACCTGGGTCTGGGGGGGACCCGGGGCCCCCTGCACACTTGGTGGTGGATCTGGAAGTGGACCGGAAATACTTCCGGGCCACTTCCAGGCTCACTGCCAAGCACAAGGGATGGGGGAGGGAGCACGCTCCTGTGGGATGCTCCATCCGCCCCAGCATCACAGCATTCATGAGCTGCACCTACTACTTCGAGGTATGTAGAAAAAAACATTTAAAGCTGTGTCTGTGGCCGAAACTAATCCAAATTGGCCCGTTTCACACAGCCCTACTGAGCAGTATCTAATTGGGCGTAAATTTGATACCTGCATGACGCAGGTATCAAATTTACACTCAAGTAGGTATAAGTCACCCAGTAGCTCCAGAGGTATCAATAATGTGGGTACCTGTTGCAGAGCAGTCTGGTCCTTTAAATGGGACAGCAAGCACAAGGGTAGGAGTCCAACTGTGAGTACGGACAGTTAAAAGCCCAAGTGTGGAGAGAGCAGGGAGCTTGAGGTGTGGGAAAGAACCATTTGCAGACAAGAGGAAGACTGAAATTCAGAAGAGCTCACCTCTAGGAAAGGCCAGAGCTAAAGGGCCCTCTCCTGCATTTGGAGAAAAGCCAAAGGTTTAGTTTTGCTTGCTTGTTTGTTGTTTTGCACAAGGATTATTTTATGTATTCTGGACTATTGTTTGGGCTGGCTGAGAGGGTCCTCAGGGGCACAGGCACACCGTCCTGCTTACAGCACCTCAGGACTTTCAGACTGTAGGCCAACCAGCTATCATAGCACCTGGCTCCACTGGCTGCTCATCTCTTGGAATCCTGCAGATTGGGGCTAGCCAGCTCCCCTGGCAAAAGACCAAGGGGTTTCCCCCACCCTTTTGGGTCCAGAGGGTTGTTAGGCCTCCATAACCCCTCAGGCCTTTTTATCAAATGTGGTGGTTTTTAGGGCCCAAACTCTGAGCATTGGCTTACAGCCCAGTCCCACTCAGAGATGCCAAATTGAACGATCACACAACACAAGGAAGAAGTTACAATATATCATTGAGTTTAACAGAATGCTAAGCCACTACAACAACAACCCTAGCCAATATAAAACAGAATCATACGAGAGGTAACAAGCTAATAATTTACAAAAGTGAAGCAATACACCACAGACAGACTAGGTTCCATGGGTAGATGTGATATCTTTTATTAGACCAACTAAATAGTTGGAAAAAAGTTATTTGCAAATTGGTCTAATAAGAGATGTCACATCTACCCAAATAACCTTGCCTGCCTATTAGACCAACATGGCTACAACCAATAACCCTGCAATACACCACACTGTCACTACAGGTTATCAGTAAAGTACACTTAGGCCTGTTACAGTGAGACTGCTCTTCCAGTCTTCACTATAACTGATGAGGTTTTCTAATCCATTCCCTCAACAGGTACTAGGCACCTCAAAACCTGGGGCAGGTGATACGTTACCCTCTTCAAGCGATGGAAGATGCACCCATGCGTGGAAGGAGCCGCTCGGGTAGTCCCCTCAACAATCCAATGGGAATCCTCTCTCTCTGCCGTGAACCCCTTTCACACACATGCACCTTCCGCTTCAAATCAAACACCTCTCTCAGATACCAGGGGTTTGGGTTGTAGCCGTGTTGGTCTAAGGACATAGGCAGCCCAGCCCAGCTCCTGGCTTCTTTACTTTTCATTCCATCCAGGAAGAGCACACACCCACTGCTGAAGCTTCCTTAGCCTGACCAAGGGTTTTTGAACCTGAAAGCTTGCTTAATAACTATTCTCCAGCCATTTGGGTTGGTCTAATAAAAGATATCAAATTCACCCAAGGAACCTTGTCTCTCAGATACCCGCATGCACCTAACTAATACTCACCATCAACTCTCCCACCCAAAGACCAATATACCCACAAAGAAGTGTGCACAGCCCCCACACACCAAGAAGCACATGCTGCCACACACACACACACACTTTTCTCTTCACAGTCCCTTTTTAAATACCTTCCAGTCACCCCACTCCTATCAATCATTAGTCCAGCCAACCATCAGGTAAATCACCATATCAATCACCTGTCAATCACTGATGGACCACTCGGGAGCATTTTCATCTCACACAACAGTTGCTACATTTTCCCACCTGGAAGGTTATGAAGGCTCAAGATGAATTAATTTATGTAACTGGGTCATGGCATCATCAAGGGCAAATGTTCATACCTTCTCCAGCCATCAAGTCCTCTAGCCATGTATACATGTGCACATGCTCCATCCACAATGTAATAAACAACAAGGCCAGAGCCTGGGCTCTACACTGGGAGTCAGAGGGATCCTAAGCAGACTACCTGGGAGGCTGTAACAGAACGAGTGTTCCCAGGCAGGAATGTCAGACAGCATCTTCCATTTCATGAACAGCAATTTTCTGTGTTTCTACAATGAAATCTCTCAAGATTTCAGTCCAGCAAAGAAAAATATTTTTACTTTCTACTCCAATTTGGAATTGGGTATTCTGAAAATTTCTTTGATATGATATTTGGTTTTCTGGGCAACTCTAACAGTGAGTGCTCCTCTCTAAGAATGGAGACCCTCTACTATGAATTTAGACCCCCAGCATTGAAAACAATGGCACAGCGCATTGATAGTAAAACCGGAAGAACCTCCAATGCTTCTCAGACTCAGACTGAGGCATTGTCTTTGTCAGCAGAAAAAATCTGAATGCAAATGAATGACTCATCTACTCATATAGAAAAGCACTCTAAAAGCAGTGCTAAGAATGTGCCATCTGTGCACCAGAATGCCATGTTTATGTTCAAGCCTGTCAAATACAGCTCCAAACTTGCTGCATAAATAGGTAGCAATATTTAATATACAGAAAAATGCAAAGTGCTAAGCTACCCCACACAGCCAGGATATATTATCTCACTCTTCAACAAGGAACAAATTTACATTTTCTTTTTTTATTGATTAAAAAAAAAACAATGCAATACGAAAATCAGAAATATAGACATATCTGCTACAAACTAGGCACATCTGTCGCAAAAGGTAATAGTAATAAAGGGGACACGAAAAAGGAAAATAAAAATAGAGAAAGGAAGAAGGAAGGATAGAAGAAGAAATGAAAAATCTGCAAGCATAATTTTAATTACCTAAATAATCTAAGAATTCTTTCCAAATTATACTGTTTTTTAAACAACTAGGATTGCTAAACATGTTTGTTTTCATAGATGCTAGCTGTGTATCCCATCATACCAGATTTCAACCTTCAGAGATGTCCTTTTCTTTTAATGAAGTAAGATAATTCTGTGTGGAGAATAATATAAAATATTATAAAATTATTTTATATGT